TATATATACTGATTTTATATTTATTAAATTTAATTATTTCAAATAAATTCTATTTTGAAAAATAAAAATTAAATGATCATTTATAATTTACATTCATTATTGCTTTCTCAATCTTTTTTTAGTTTTTTTACTATTAGCACTCCTTTCTCTCCTCTTACTTTTTTTTATTCCACCCACTTTTTTTATCTGCATGCTCACTCTCATCCTTATCTCCACCTTTACTCTCATTATTACTTTCCTCAACATCATCATCACTATTGACACTTACACTTGATATATCAGCCTCTTCATCAGATATTGTTGTAACATTAATAGGGAGGCCTTTTGTACCTTTTGAAGGTGATTTTGCTCCTGTTTTTGATGATGTTGTTGCTGTTTTAGTCTGTTTTGTTGCTGCTGCTGTTGTTGTTGCTACTGCTGTCATTGTTGCTACTGCTATCGTTGTTACTGTTGGTGTTGCTGCTGCTGTTGTTGTTGCTGCTTTTGTTGTTGTTGCTGTTGTAGTTAGTATTGTTGTGGTTTGTGCTGATGATGTTGTTACTGTTGTAAAATTAAACCATATAGTAGCGAGTTCGTTTATGTTAGGAAGTGGTAAAATATTACTATCCCGCTTTCTTCTTTTGTATAATATTATTCTACTATCATCGTCTCTTTCTTTTCTATCATTGTCATCTCCTTCTTTCCTTTTACTTCTCTTACTACTTTTTTTGCACCTGCACTACCACTTTTTTCGTTTTTTTTCTTACATAAATCTTCATCTCCAGTAGAAAAGTTTGCATCAAATTCTGAATCTGATATGTTAAATAGGTTTAAAGCTTCTTCTAATAATACCCATCTTAGACAATCAGGTGGTGGCATTCCAGTCATATTAACCTTCTCTTTATAATGCCATTTATGTATTCTATTGTTCTTTGGCTGCAGTTGTTGACAAATGGATCAATACGCTTATGGAATAGCTGTTTTAACTAAATAAGTAAGATGATAGTCTGTTAATATGATATTCATATCAGCATAGTTTAATAAAGAAGATAGATTAAATTAACCAGCATTATAAATAATGCTGGCTAATTTTATTTCATAATACGATTTTTTATATAGTAAAAAATTAAAAACATATATATAATATTTTAAAATTGATCAACATTATTTTTTTAGCACTAGTAAAATATTTACTTACATTAGGGCCTCGCCACCATTTGTCAATACAAACTAACTTTTTAACCTTCTCACCATCCTTTGACTGATCCTCATCCGTCTTCTACTCTTCATCAGAATAATAGGCATTTCCTCCTTTGCTTCTTGTTAAGATCTTTAAATCATTCTGTGAATATCTTCTTATGCTTTTATTTTCTGCCTTTATTAAATATGTTAATGCTTTTCCTCTTCTTTTCCTCTTTTATAATACAGTAATTTAAATTATTATATTTTACTTACAAATTATTTACCTGATAAATCATAAGAGATTAGTGATATATTAAGTAAATAATTTGTAGGCTAAGTAACAAATCATTTACCCAATATATCAGTAATCTTTTACCGATATATTGGATAAATGATTTGTTAGTCAAGTAACTCTAGAATTGATTTAAAAAATAATTTACATGACAAATTTTATTATATCTACCTCATTCACCTTACTATTTTTTTTCATTTTAGCACGATTGTAGGCCTTTAATTTTGGATCAACATTTATTGTTGCTGTTCGACGTTGCGTCTTATAATGTTGGTTTAAAATTTTTTCAATCACGTCAGAATGGTGATGATATCCTGGTAATTTTTTTGTAATAGCTGAAATCAGCTTTTGCCTCACGTCCTGCGATTGGCTAGCCTATTGTTTAGTCAGATCAGGTTTAGGTCAGATAACTTACCACCTTCTATTAATACTTTAATTTTGTCCTTGGTAATAATAATTATAATATTAATAATAAAAGTAAAATTAATTATAATAACAATAATAAAAGTAAATTAATTATAATAATAATAATAATAATAAAAGTAAATTAATTAAAAAAACAGATGAACACACAAATATAAGATAAATAATATTTATTTGTAAGTGAAACCTCTGCTCATCTATTAATATTTTCAGTACATCTTCACCTGAACTGCTGCTACTGCTACTAGACCTGCTAGTGCTTCTACTTATGCTCCTACTAACTAACCTACCACTACCTCTACTACCTGATCTACCTTTACTCCTACTAACCAATCTACCTCTTCTCCTTTTAACCAATTTATCTTCTACCTCACTTTCATCTTCACTACTAGTAGCTCCTGAGCTATAAGAGCTTGAGAATGATGGTGATCTTGCTCTTCCTTTCCCCTTACTAAATACTGCTGTGACTGCTTGAGCAACTGTTTGCGCAATGTAATTCGCATCCACTAAATAATAGATTACTGTTGTGTTAATGATATATTAAAGTTATCACATTTTATAAACCTTATATTTTCTTTTCTTAAATTTACGTGACTTCTTTTTAGACCTTTTAGCACCCATTTTACTGCTCTCTGGTTTCAGCAAATGCTTTTCTTTACTTATATTTTGATAAAATTTTAAATTAATGAAAAAATTAAAAGATATTGACCGTCTTATATATAAATCTTACTCTCATCATTCTAATATCCATTAATTAAATTAAAAAATT